ACGTTGTCACATCCTCCCTCTTTTTAAAAGGAGGTATTTGAATTTTTTACATGACATATCCATCCTCTTAGTGTTGGTTGAACAAAAAATAAATACATAAACAACATTATTTGACACTGCAGGACAGACCTCACACACAGGAGTGGTTGGCCAATGAAAACTGGACCTGCTGGGTTGAAGAGTGAGAGAGAAGGGAGGAATGGAGGAAGAGAAGTATTGAGTGAGTGAGGGATGGAGTGAGGAAGAGGAGTGAGTGAATGAGTGAGTGGGTGAGTGAGTGAGTGAGTGGGTGGGTGAGTGAGGGATGCAGGAAGAAAAGGAGGAATGGAGGAAGACAGAGAGGGAGGGAGGGACAGAGACAGAAGCGAGAGCATGAATTTGGGGAGGGGTATCTGGGAAAAGTTTGGAGGAGGGGGTGGATATAATCAAAATACACTGTATGAAATTCTCAAAGAATTAACAAAAACATTATTTTGAAAAAGAAAAATTAAGTAGTCAGCATTGTTTGGGACAAAGAAAACAGCCCTGAGCAGATTTGTCTAGAAGGATACAAAGTAGAAGAACCCACTTACTCACATTTTAATGCCTTTCGCTGTTGATATATTTCTTAAAGCATCATCTTTAAATTGAATTCAACAGCCTTTCCACAGGCTTTCCATCATGCCACAATGGGGCAACCAGCGGCCTAGGAAATGCCTTAAATCTTTCAATATTTACTTCTTAAAACCTACTTCCCTGTGCTTGTTAAAAACACAAAAAAGAGAACACTGTCTTTGTTTCCAGAGTTCATAGACCATGGAAAGAACTCTATCAAAAGTTTACAATACTGTGTATTAAACAAAGCCTATCACAGAGATATGTGAAAAGGACACTGGGAGTAGGAGCAGGAGGAGGAGGTAGGAGGAGAAGGAGGAGGAGAACATTCCTCCTCCCAGGAGATGGAGAGGAATCTCTTTTAGGGTAACTTTAAACATTAAGGTTCAGATTATTAACCATTTAATAAGACATGCTCGGTAATTCGATTTTCTAATCTAGCGGAAATAGGCAGGTATTAAAGAATTATGCACAGCAATATGGCCAGATTAGTTTTGTTTTTTATTGGTAGTATACTGATAGCAGTGTGGCATAAGATCTACAGGAGGCAGAGCAGACAGTAAAGAGCCACAAGACAATGATTTCAGTAATTCAGCCCATTAAGAAGCTGCAAAGATATGAAGCAAGGCTACTTGGTTGGAAAAACGATGTTCTGGCTATAGATGCTCCATTTTATGCCAGGCATCCATGTTGGTGTCCACCAGTCATTTGTCTCTGACTCCAGTCTCTAGAAGATAAATTCCCAATAACCCTGACTCAGTGACCCCCACCCAAAAATATACAGTCTATCTATTTGTTATGATATGACTACTGTGTTTTTTTTTTGCTTCTGTAACTTGCCTATGCAGATACCCAAAGATTGTTTTGAGTTGCCTTAACTACTTAACTTGGCAGAAAAGAACAGGTTTTGCTTGCTTGTGAAGGTCTTTGCGTGGTTTCTCCCCCTTTAAAGTCCTTCCCTGTAACCCTCCTTCATGGCAATCTCAAATTTGGCTAAGAAATTGTTTTCCCTGATACCAACTAATCAAGAAATCTTTTAATTATAATTGAACTGAGTCTATGATCTTTCTTGGGCTCAAAGACTTCATAACAAAAGCTAGAGGACAGACATCAAAGACTTGGTGACTAGCTTATAGCAGGAGTTGACGGTGACACGAGAGAGGGGGAGAGTACAGAATTCCAAATAGGACCATCCCTAAGAGAAAGCTGAGTGCAAAAGCAAGCTGGAGACTCAGGAGCCAGGCTACTCAAGGTCAAATGTCCTTTCACACTTACTTTCTGTGTGGCTTTCAAGCAACTTTCTTGCTCCCTCTAAACCTCTTTGGCATATATGCCAAAAGATCTCTTGACAATGTTGTACGTTTATGCCTAAAAGGTTCTTTTATTTTTACTTACTATAATTCTGGTTGGAATAGTGATACTATCTGGTGTGTTTGTTTTAGAAGACCTAATGTTCCATCTTGTAGTACTTTTAGACTGGTTGCATAGTGATAGTATGAGCAGTGTGGCATCTGATGTGTTTTTAGAACCGTCTAGGTTGGTATAGATTAATATATGGCTCTCAGGTTGGAAAGAAAACTTCTGTAGCATAGTGACAGTGCTAGAGTCCAGCATGCAGATGAAGTTGTCTACAGCACTTTGAGCTGGGGCCAAGGTTTGAGTCTCTAAGATAATGGTATCTGATAAACATCTCTAAATGTTTGATAGGAAGGAGAGGAGGCAAAATCTACAGAGGTTCATTAGGAGAGAAGGCCCAATAAATAGGAGGAGGAGGAGGAAAAAGAAGAAGGAGGAGGAGGAGGAGGAGGAGGAGGAGGAGGAGGAGGAGGAAGAGGAGGAGGAGAAGAAGAAGAAGAAGAAGAAGAAGAAGAAGAAGAAGAAGAAGAAGAAGAAGAAGAAGAAGAAGAAGAAGAAGAAGAAGAAGAAGAAGAAAGGGGCTCCTAAAAACAGCCCCACAAGAAGAACTATGACAGAGGAGCCAGGTGTAGGAATAACATCTATCTCACAGAAAGTCTGTAATAAAACAATTTAATTGACTGTGGTATCTCTCAGGATACTTCTCATTTTCTTGATTTTGACTCCACTTCTAGAGACAGAGAAAGGGAAAATGATTTCTAGGTGGAATCATATCACGGCTTACGATTAATAGGGTAAAAGACATTGAATTCAGAAATTCCTTATAATTGAACTGTGTTAAATGACTTAAAGACTGCTATAGGTATCAGTAAAGTCAGAAGGGGTCTGATTGTAATGTTAATTTACAGGACAAAAGCAAATTTCATTCCTCCCTTCTCCTAATCTCCCTGGAGACATCGCTAATGACAAGCCTCAGCGGCCAGCAGATATGAAATCTGTCTGCATGGCCTCCTTGATGTGGTTTTCTGTTCACTTCTGCTTTGACTCTAAAACTTCGGGGATGAAACTTGAACACGGACCTCATTTGAAGAGAAAGGCACTGAGACTTTTCTAAAGTGATGTCTCCTATTACAAATAACATTGGTGTTAGGAAAAGTCTGATGGTTTTGGCAGTATAGAGTATACAGTGCAAATGTCAAGCATGTTGGCTTTGGACCCGAATCCTGACCCCACCATTTTAAGCCTCCATTTCGTCCCATGGAAAAATTGATGTTAACTCTGGATTCCTTTAAATAATGGGTCCCTAACAAGACATAGTGGGTTCATAATATTTTACCTTTGAACTCTTCAGAGTAGAAAAGATTGAAAAAGCTTGAGAAATGCATTGGTAAAATGCCTTTTGAAGAAGAGTCCATCTTTTCTTACAACACAAAAAGCATTTACATTCTTCTTAGCAGTGTAACTGTCCATTTACAGGAGACAGAGCAGTCTGATCCATACTTCTCATGGCATCAGAGCTGAGTAGCTTTCTGCTCTTCACCAGCTGGGCACTTACCCGTGCATTTCTTCCTAACTAATGTAATACTTAGCCCATTACACAGAGTCACTCAAAAGCTACACAGAAGCCATATCCAAATGATGAGTCCAAGGGAGTTGTATGACATCCCCAAATGTTCTTGGTCACTGGGTGTTTTTCAAAAATAAAAAGACAGGTACTGCTAAAGTCACAATTACTCCTCTTTCATTTTACATTAAATATCTGCAAAATAAATTTATGAGATATGATGAAACTATACAGTCTGGGAGGGAAAGCCTGTTTTAAGTCTATCACCCAAGTTTTCAAGTGACTTGCTATTTCATCTAGAATTCAAAATCAAATACAAAAGAGCCTAGAGATGTCCTAACCTGTTACTAACTTTGCATTTTATAAAAATTACTAAGCTTTGCTGTTGGCAAAATGATCATTAAAACTACAACACAGAGTTAAGCAGTAAAGTTGGACCCCATAAAGCATGATAGTATTGTAGTTCTTAAAGGCCCCTGTGCAGATGGTCCTAATCAGCCTGAAAACACAAATACACAAACCAGTTTGTTCCAGCTACAGAATAATTTCATTAAAAGCATGCTTATAATTGAACAGAATAAATAATAGTTAAAGCCATGGAGGTAATGAGACCTCATGGAAATACAATCCAATGAGTCTTTGCCAAGAAAACTGTTCCAAAGTTTTAAAGTTGGCAAGTCCAGAAATTAGTTCCTTTCCAGGCCACAGGTAGGAAAGTGTTACCTGAACTAGCCAAAACTTGTGTGAACATAACTTTAGAGAAACACACACACACACACACACACACACACACACACACACACACACACCTATCAACCCAGAATATCTTTTTTTTTTTCCTCTGGAAAAGTTAGAAGTCCGATTTCTTACCATGTTACATTTTTCATTGAGACACAAATGCTGCAGGAAATGCACTGCAGAAGTAAACAGACACACACAGCCTGCACACACTCTAAGGACGTAAGATTCTCTTTGCAAATAGTGATCTTGGCAGTAAGCCTTCTTTATGTACTAAGAGCTTTGTTCCCTGCTTACAGCAAGTCCCAAGGCTACAGCAGGTAAGTGTGTGGTACTAATTAGGCTCAAAGGTGATTGTGCTCAAAACAGAAAAATTTTTATAGCTTGATTCAATGAAGGTAGGAAATTATGTTAGCACAGTTGAGTTATAGAGCTCATTTTCCCACAATTACTGATCTTTTACTCTGAATCAGTATAAATTTTAACATTGAAAAATAAATAATTCCATTCAAGGGTTACTGATTAATTGCTTAATTCCTAGCCAAAAAAAGCAAGTAATTTTAAAAGCAATGAGGAAAATCTTACACAGAAACATCCATTCTGCTTATTTTCCTAACGTTAATACCAATTTTTTATTAAAAATCTGTTTCCTTAGGTAAACTGTCAGGATTTTAGATCATAATCCCCATCCAAGAAGTAAAGCAACATCCACTCTGCATAAAACTGTAAACTCAAATGCAACCCTTACCTTGTGTCACCTGTTGAACCGCCAACATAACCCCAGACACAGTGTCTGGAAGCAGGTTTTCCCTCAGGTTGTACTGTGGAGCCCATTCCAAAATAGGTAGGCGCCTCTTCCACCACTGTTTAATGTCTTCCCAGTGGGGGGGATGCATCTTGCCCCGCAGAACGTTTTTCTTTTTCCTCTTTGCTCCTGTCATTTTTCAGAGCCCCTCCTGTAGTAGTCAACCTCTTCAGACAGGGAGAAAACAATAAACGTTGTTGAACACCTCCTTTCAATGCCAGGCTCCAACCCGTCTGTGGTTTACAATGTCAAAGCTATCCAGAAAATAGTAAGTGGGAGAGAGGAGAGAGAGGAGAGAGAGAAGAGAGAGGAGAGAGGACAGAGAGAGAGAGAGAGAGAGAGAGAGAGAGAGAGAGAGAGAGAGAGAGAGAGAGAGAGAGAGAGAGAGAGAGAGAGAAAGGTTGAAAAAACAAAAATGGATACAACTGAGCTGTATGCCTTACTATGGTTCAGCTAAATATTCTAGATAAAAATTATAGAACCAAACCTTTAATTCTTATCAGAATAAAGAAATGATTCCTGCTAAAGTATTACTTTTCTGATCTTGGAAAAGTAATAGTTTCAGTGGTGAGATGGTTACAGCTCCCTTGCTAGTAATTCCCTTTATATTCACTGTCGTCTTATGTTTTTGGCTGCATTCCCAATGGTTAATGAGGTAGTTCTGGGCGTGTGTTGGAAGTGGGTGGGGCTATGCTAATGAAACCAGGAAGAATCCAGCCAGCCTAGTGTCTCCCTACACGCTAAAGCGAAGTTATGATGGCCAGAGGGATCTGTTATACAGAATATGCTCAGAAACTGCAGCCATACTTCTTTGAGGTGTATATTTTCAACATGTCTAAAAATTGCCAGTTCCACAAAAGTCAGAAACATGATAGGGAACTACATGAATCCTTGTCATTTTATTCTCTGGGCACAAAGTTTTCATTCATACAAAAAAAAAAAATAGCCACTGTGCCATCTGAGGGAGGACTAGCTAGTTCTTATAAACAAACTGAAATTTCATCTCCTGGGCTAAGGAAATAAGTACCACAATGAGCAAATATTTGTGGCTGGAGTTTATTTTTCTTCCTGTCTCTGATCATTCACTTTTCACTGATTGTTTCTCTAAGTTTTTAATTAACATACTTATGTCATTGTAAGTAAAATTTATTGAAGAACTTAGTATCATTAAAACTATTCTTTGAAGTGGCACTCGTGTGTGTGTGGGGGGGGGTGTAATACTATCTTTTGCTGACATAACATTTCGAGTGTTGTCCTTTTAAGAATGAGTGTTACACTTTCTAACAGAATAGACTGTCTAAGATTTTATTGTATTGTTGTTTCCCACAGCCTCCAGAAGAAGCAGTCTGCAGTATGATCTGAACCATTGGAATTAACCCAAAATAGCCAATATTTTAAGTAAAACTGTGGAGCCAACAGAAAGAAAAGCATTTATGTGGTTTGTTGCAGTACTTTTTAATGTCCATTTGCCCAGAGACTAGACATCAGATTCTGGAAGCTATTAGAACAGGAAGAATTTAGATCTGTGGATTCTCTAAAGGACCCCTGCGACACTTTCTTCCATTACTTATATCAAGTGGAAGAGCTACTTTATCAGCTTCAAAAATGCAATATCCCTTGCTTTGTATCTACTTGGCAATACTTTTTTAAATTTCATGAATCCTAAATATATAAAGAGATGTACAATGCATGAAATGCATGGAATTTTTCTGCACTTTTCTAGTATCACATTAAATTTGTAACACTTCAATACATGTCTAATTCGGGGTCAGGTTAAAAGTCTCTAGAGAAAGTATCCCATTAGGACTGAGATGAAGCTCAGAGGGATAGTTCTTCCCTAGCGTGCATGAGGCCCCTGGTTCAATTCCTAGTGAAACAAGAGGAGGGAAAAGGAGGAAGAAGAGGGAATCTCATTCAGAGAGGATGCTGCAAATTATAGCATTTTTAACTTATTATTTGATATAAAAATAGCCTTAGAAGACAAATGCAAATCAACACAAGAGGACATTTAGGCTGGCTTTCCTTCCTGAGTGGAGATCTCTCCCTTGGTTGTACATACTCTACTCAGCATATATCACAATGAAAGTCAGGAACTATGTGTACATGCATTGCATATTACTTTCTTAACTAAGATAAACATGAAATATAAAAAATAAATCTAGGCTATAAATTCAAACCTAGGCTGCATATAAAAAGATAAAAAAATTATTGAAAGCTTCACTGAAGTCATCAACACAGTAACTATTTTATGATTTTCAATTTTTTGTTTCTGTTAAATCGTAGACACAAATCATTGACCTGAACAGGTCTTTTATAAATAAAAATGAATCTACACAGAAATACCTATATTGCATCAGAGCTAGCAATTGTGCTAAAACATTTCTGCTCTGAAGGGGGCAGAGTTATATGTGAGATTAATTCTTAGATGGCTCATCAGACAGTCCCTAAGATAATAACTCTTTTCTAAGTTTAAGTCTAGAGCTCTACTTCCTTTTTTCCCTCTCCTGTGTGCAGACACATTATTTAGGGCCTTCCAAAACCTCACTCCACAGCATGCTATCAGCCTTATGTATAATCAGCAGTAGCAAACAAAGAAAGCTTTATGAAGAATTTTTTCACACACATGAAATTCTCCAAGTGACTTGGCTGGCCCATAAAGTTCAATAAGACTAATAACATTTATTTGAAAGTTCCAGTGACTAAAGGTAGTTTAATGTTCATTATTGTATACCACCCATATGAACCATCTCTTCCCTGAATGTCCAGTGAACACCTATAGATATCAAAAGATGCTCTGATTGTCTTCCACTTCAGACATGGACCAACAGGAAAGTTCTTCTTCCTGAAACATCATTTTATCACATCATAAACATGTTTAAATTTCTGTCATTTCCAACATTAAACTCAAACTTATTTAACACAAACAATGTGCTTGCCCTTTCAGAATCACTGCTCCAACTAGCTTACCATAATCCTAATTCAACTTGTATGTATTAAACAATCACTGTGTAGGAGGAGGGGAAGGACAGAGTAGGTGTTATCTACACTTTAGGACTTTAGGAGATATGTAATGCAGGAAATAGGAAAAGGTATAACTAACGTTCTCCCAGGCCAAAAAAATGGGTAAATTAATAATGAATTATTAATGTGCTGTAAGCTCAGGAACATGGGGATTTCATTATTACTAGGGATAAATTCCTCCTGTCCTACCCAGACCATGTGTTCCAGCAAGTAACAGTTCACAGGCTACCACATACTGACATCCCTAGTCATGTGATCTTCTCCATCATATCTTCCAAATATTTACTAAAATCTACATCTTCCATGAACTATCTGGACCCCCAGCATTCTGATCAAGCTATATTCCGGTAGCCTTCACAGGTATAGAGCTTGAGTCATTTTCATGATATATATTTTTTCTTCCTTTACATCGTCCTCATAAGTTCATTATGAGTAGGATTTATTCATGTAATTTTCTTTGTCTTTCCCCTTATGATTTAGAAGAAGAAACTATAGACATAGCTTCCACTAGATAATCATGAATGTGGCAGTTCTCCTAAAACTGCTCAAGAATCACTTCACCTGATGCAGCATAATTGCCATACTGTGCTCTAAGAGAATAGGGACAGTATGTGGACAGAAAACAAGGGGATGTAGTAGGGAGAAAACATGGAGAGCTTTTGTTTTTGCTTGATGATGGAGTTTCTGTCCCACCTGGTCCCACAGCCATTTAGTCCCAAATAAATACACAGAGACTTATATTAATTATAAACTGTTTGGCTGATAGCTCAGGCTTCTTATTGGCTAGCTCTCTCTTAATTATTAACCCATTTCTATTAAACAATTTATTGCATGAGGCTGTAACTTACCTGTCATACTCTGGCAAGTTACTCCTTCAGTGGCTACATGGCGTATCCCACTCCCCTCTGCTGACACTTCCTCTCTGTGTTCCTCTTCCCAGCATTCCTAGTTTGGTAGCCCTGCCTATACTTCCTGTCTGGCTACTGCCAAATCTGCATTTATTCACCAACTAGTAAGAGAAACATATATTCACAGCATACAGAAGGACAGCCCCATTGGCTGGCTCAACTTCTCCTTGCTCTTTCAAAATCTAAGAAATGTTCTTGTTTTTAATAGAAGTCATTTTCTTTGTATTATAGGATCTACATTGTGGAGTGAGGAAAGCCCAAATAGGATGTGCACAAGAGAGGGAGAAGACACAAGAGGGGAAGGTGAAGGCACAAGAGAGGCAGCCATCCTTGTGGTTTGAGACTTTGCCAGGGTACAGGGTTTGCACTGAATGTGTTCAAGGCAATCCTGAAGCATAAGGGAACTGGGTCAGGCTTGAGTGAGCTCAGAATCTTGGGGAATATTAAGCTGGTTATAAACTGGATCACATTTGTTGGGTTTTGATAAACACAAGTAAAGACAGGCATGTGACTTTTGATATGGGTGTGATGCCTCACCTGTGCAGGGATGGGGTACCTAAAGCACTGATATGTACCCCAGTTATCCCGGAAATACAGGCTCACAAACCACGGATAACATCCGTTTCTAGCTCATGTCTCCTACACGTAGTTGATCTACAGCATTTCTAATAAAAAGATACTGCTTAAGGCTCAATCTGCAGGGAAAAGGGAAGGCAGAGATGAAAGCTTTTCTCCATTCACCACACACCACACAACAGGCATTGAGATGTCTCCACAAAGAGGGGTTGACTTTTCTCATCAATTAAACATGACATCATCTTCTAATCAAGGCAAATTTTTATATAGATTGGCATAGTCCATTTTAACCAAATTCAGTTATAATTTTTTAATGACTAGAGTTAACAAGCTTAGAAAAACAGCCTGTTCCAAATTTTGGACCTGACTATTAGAACGTTTTTTCCTAATTGGTAAGCCAACACCACTATTTAAGATTTTTACTCTTTGCTCTTCATCCTAACCTCTGTACTATATTACAGACTCTCAGCTTCCAGACTAATTCATTCAGTGCTACAATTTCTGAAGATAGTTTTTTGTTTTTCCTAGGAGCTGTTCATTTCCTAAATGCCATTGCACATGTAAGTCAATTGCAGTCCTGAATTCCACAATGTTTTCTCATAACAAACCAACTAGTCCAATAGTGAGCTCACAAATAGTGAACAAGATTGATCTCAACAATGAGCATAACCCACTGTCTTTGATTAACTCACTGTTTTTGATTAAATAGAACTTGCCGAGCTCTTCTTTTATCACAGTTTTTTTTCATTCTGCTGTGTCTTTATATATGTGATAATGTTTTATGACAGCCCCAATGTTGTAGTAGGGAGGATATAAGAAGATCACTGGGGTTTTCTGACTAGTGGTCTAGTTTCAAGTTCAGGGAGAGACTCTGTCTAAGGCAGGACATCTGACATTCTCCTCCCACCACTGCAGGCCAAAAAGGCCATCGAGCATATCTGCTAGAACTTATACTTTAGAATAAAATTTCTTTAGAACGAATTGGAAAAGGACAAATTTAATAGATTTTTTATTGTGTCTAAAAGGAACCCTAAGGATTCATATCAAATCAAGTATACTGTCTTCACCAGTCATGAAACTTCAAATCAGAAAAAAAGAAGAGAGTGAGATTTGCCCCATGATTCCATTGACTCTTCCTCTGGATACATAGCCTCCATTTGGAATGAATAATAATCATAAAGCAAAAAGATATTATTTGGAACTTAATATTACTCAGAAGGAAAATCGGTAAAATACTCTATAAACCCCATATTTCCGCATAAAGATCAGTCCCTCAGCATGAATTTCCCTCACATAATTAGTGTTTGACTCCCTTTTAAGGTAAATTCAAACAATATGAATCTTGCCCCATTAGCACATGAAGTTGAAATAGCACTTCATGGCCACTACTAACTACAAGGACTCAAGCTACACTGTAGTCATTTTTATAGCTTTCTGGAAGGTGATCATTTGGGTTTTAATAAAAAGGTATAAGGCAGTGATAAGACCCAGGACTCTTGTAAGGGTCTTCCTTCCAATATTAATAGTTTCATCAGAAGGCAGGTATATACACAGAAAGGTGGCTCACAAAGTCAACGCTGATCAAATTGTTCTCATCTAACACTAGGTCCCAGTGTCAAAGGCAAAGCTCAAGGTATACTGGTGGTACAGGTTTCTAATCAGAGTTAATGAAAGAGGATTACTACAAGCTCAAATCCTGCCTGGACTATTTAGTGAGACAGACCCTCTCTGAAAACAGAAAAGTGAAAGGAAACCCAAGGATACAGCCTAACAGTAGACACTTTGATTAGTATGGGTGAGGCCCTAGATTGAATTCCCAATATTTCAATAAATAAATAAATAATAATAAATAATAAATAAATAAATGAAAATGACCATGTAAAGCTAACATTTCTGTTTTGACTTTAAAACTTCATGACTTTGTAATGCACAGAGGGCTGGCACTTGGATAAGAATTTTGATAACTATTCACTTTTGCCAATATTTTCTTCATTTTTCCAATTAAGTAATCAAATTACTATTATAAAATATATTTTTGAAAGTACCGAGAAGTATTGAATAAGCAAATAAGTTCTATGCTCATATCGCTAGTTTCAATTTTTGTGCTGATATCCTGATTTCTTCTATGAATTGTTTTACTTTGCATAGTCTAGGCATGATGATCCACTATGTGTGTCTCTAGAAATAGATGAGAACATTAGCAACCCTCCTCAAAGATACACCTTGGTACACATGCTACATATGCTTCTCTCTCAAGGAATGGGCACTTTGGTTACCCCCAAGATTTTTATTACTACAAATGGCACTGAAGAAAAAGCTTGGTGTAAGTTTTAAGCTCATATTTCTTATTGCTTCCTTATAAGTAAGTTGCTAGTCCCAGTGCCAAAGAACCATTGTTAATGATGGTATTTTATGGCAGCTATTTTTCCCATGATCCAAAGGGACTCTTCTGGATCAAATTTTACAAAAGCCCAGATCTACAATAAATCCATTTTTTGAGCAGTCTCACTTTCTGCCTCTGTGTGTTGACTTAACATTTCATGATGTCTAGTTTTCTAGACTAAGTGGTCATTTAGTAAACAGGGCACTCATAGTTAAATTTTCTGAGACCTTAAAATCACAAAATATATTTTTTTCTTTTTAGTTTGTTTTTACCTGATGATTTCTATTACACAATTGACAAAATGAATCAAACATGAACTATAAGTAATGCACAAGTCCCAAAACAATACTTAAAATAATAATCAGAACTTCTCAGCACTTGTGTTGTCTACAGAAGCCAAATTGGGTGACAGTGAAATTAAAGTAATATAAAAAGAGAACATGAATAATTCTAGTGATTATTTAAATATGCACATACAAACAGATAGAGAGAGAAACAGAGGCTGGAAAGAAGGTTAAGAGAATGTACTTGTCTCTTATTCCCTAAGACACACATGAAATTTTTCATAACTGCCCATGACTCCAGCTCCAGGGAATCCAATGCCCTTTTCTCAAGTCCACAGGCACCACACCATACATGTGGTTCACACAACCTTACACAGGCGCATGCATAAAATAAAAGTACACAAATAACAAACAAATAAAGCTTTAAAATAAAGAAAACTCCACTGGGCGTTGGTGGTGCATGCCTTTAATCCCAGCACTCAGAAGGCAGAGGCAAGAGGCAAGCCAGCCTGGTCTACAATAGCTAGTTCCAAGACAGCCTCCGAAGCCACAGAGAAACCCTGTCTTGAAAAACAAAAAAAGCAAAACAATAATATATTTAAAATGGCTTGAGGACATTTTAGATCTTGAACAGAGAATTTCACTCAGTTCTAGAAACAGCAAATAGGTA